AAAAAAAAAAAAAAAAAATTGAGGCCGGGCACGGTGGCTCATGCCTGTAATCCCAGCATTTTGGGAGGCCAAGGCAGGCGGATCACTTGAGTTCAGGAGTTTGAGACCAGCCTGTCCACTGTGGTGTAAAATCCAGTCTCTAACAAAAATACAAAAATTAGCCAGGCATGGTAGCACATGACTGTAGTCCCAGCTACTTCGGAAGCTGAGGCAGGAGAATTGCTTGAACCCGGGAGGTGGAGGTTGCAGTGAACCGATATTGCGCCACTGTACTCCAGCCTGGGTGACAGAGACTCTGTTTTCAAAAATTAATAAAATAAAATAAACAATTTTAATACTGTATACATATAATGTTCATAACAGTATTATTCACAAGAGCCAAAAGGTGGAAGCAATCCAAATGTCCACCCACAGATGAAAAAACACAACATGTTCCATCCATACAATAGAACATTATTGAGACATAGAAAGGAAGGAGGCCGGGCACCGTGGCTCACACCTGTAATCCCAGCACTTTGGGAGGCAGAGGCGGGTGGATCACTTCAGGCCAGGAGTTCGAGACCAGTCTGGCCAACACGGTGAAACCCCATCTCTACCAAAAAATACACAAATTAGCCAGGTGTGGTGGCGCATACCTGTAGTCCCAGCTACTCGGGAGGCTGAGGCACGAGAATCGCTTGAACTCAGGAGGCAGATGTTGCAATGACCCGAGATGGCGCCACTGAAGTTCGGCCTGGAGGACAGAACAAGACTCTGTCTCAAAAATAAATAAATTAATTAAATAAATAAATAAGAGGAAGCACTGCTCCATGCCATGATGTGGAAGAACCTCGAAAACATAATGCTGAGTGAGAGAAGCCAGGCACAAAAGGTTACATAGTGCATGACTCTACTTATATGAAATGCCCAGACCAGGCAAATCCAGAGACAAAAGGTACATTACTGGTTGCCAGGGGCTGGGGAGATAGGGAACGGGGAGCCACTGCTTACTGGGTATGAGACTTCTTAGGAGTGATGAGAATGTTTTGGCACTAGAGATGACGGTTGCACAACACCGTGAATGTACTAAATGCTATTGAATTGTGCAATTTAACATGTTTGATTCTATGTTATGTCAATTTCTTTTCTTTTTTATTTTTGTTTTCAAGATGGAGTCTCACTCTGTCACCCAGGCTGGCGTGCAGTGGTACAATCTAACTCCGCTCACTACAACCTCCGCCTCCCAGGTTCAGTCGATGCTCCCCCCTCAGCCTCGCGAGTAGCTGGGATTACAGGCATCTGCTACCATGCCTGGCTAAATTTTGCATTTTTAGTAGAGATGGGGTTTCACCATGTTGGCCAGGCTGGTCTCTAACTCCTGACCTCAAGTGATCCACCCGCCTCAGCCTCCCAAAGTGCTGGGATTACAAGTATGAACCACTGTGTCCGGTCTTTTCTTTTTTAAAGAGATGAGGGCCGGGCGTGGTGGCTCACGCCTGTAATCCTAGCACTTTGGGAGGCTGAGGCAGGCGGATCACAAGGTCAGAAGATCGAGACCATCCTGGCTAACGTGAAATCCCGTCTGTACTAAAAATACAAAAAAAGTAGCCGGGCGCGGTGGCGGGCGCCTGTAGTCCCAGCTACTTGGGAGGCTGAGGCAGGAGAATGGCGTGAACCCAGGAGGCGGAGCTTGCAGTGAGCGGAGATCGCGCCACTGCACTCCAGCCTGGGCGACAGAGCGAGACTCTGTCTCAAACAAAAAAAAAAAAGAAGAGAGATGAGGCCTCACTACGTTGCCCAGGCTGATCTGGAACTCCTGAACTCAAGTGATCCTCCCCCTTTGGCCTCCCAAAGTGCTGGAACTACAGGTGTGAGCCACCAGCCACAGCTATGTTAATGTTAATTTCACCTCGACTTTAAAACACAGCAAAAACAAGGGCTCTGGTAAGGGGGGCAAGCCTGGCTTCAAATTCCACCTCTGCCTCTTTCCTGCTGTGTGACCTTGGCCAAGTCACTTAACCTCTCTGTGGCTTGGTTTCCTCACTTGCAAAATGGGAAAGATTTAATGAGTGAGTCAAATTTTTACAACAATCTCCAGCATGAAGTAAGTGCTGTTTAAATGTTATTTCTACTGGACACATTCCCTTTGGATTAGAACTTCATCTCTTTGTCCTTTTCTCTGTCACAAACTCCTGGCCCCAGTTGCCTGCTGTGGATGTCATGGGCCAAGGACAACATTCTGGAGGCAGAGGTCACCTCTGATTGTACTGCTTCTAAAGGGCTGATGAATAATACTCTCTTCCCCTCTGCCTCTTCTCCAGGAACCTCCTGTAGGGAGGTACCCTCTTGCCCTTCTCTCCTGCGCCCCCAGTGCCTGGCCTGGGGACTGGGGAGAATAAGCATTCAGGAAATATCTGCTGCTTGCCTGCCTGACTTAACTGATGGGCCTCAAACCAGAAGTCTTTTTTTTTTTTTTAGGTGGGCAGATCACTTGAGGTCAAGAGTTCGAGGCCAGCCGGCCAACATAGCAAAATCCCGTCTCTACTAAAAATACAAAAAT